GTCCGCCACCGAAGGAGGGTGGTGGCTATTCTTAGAGCGCGGTCCGGTGGCGGCCGGCCTGGCCTGCACGGCGCCGAGGCGTGGTGGCCGTCGTTGTCCTATACGGGAGCGCCTTATCAGTATCTTCTACGCGTGAACAAATGTCGTGTCCCCCCCGACCGTGCCGCTGGCGAGGGGGCTGCGGAGGACTGTAGGGCATAGGGCTCCGCGGGTGGCTTGTGTAGTGTACTCCCCTGACGGACTGGCGAAGCTCGGTGACGGAGGGCATCATTCGTCGCCCGGCAACACCCGCGGCCCGCGAACTATTTCGGCCCGCCGGACAAAAATCTCCCGCTTTTGGCAGGCACTTCCCTCCCCGGGTGGCTCGCACTCGGCCCGCCCCGTCTGTCAGTATAGTGGGTACGGCCGGCCGGCGAGTGACTCGCTCGCGCAAAGCCATTATACGAGTGGCTAAAAAAAGCAAACAGCGCGTTGTTCGCCCCCGCCTGCACCGGTGTTTGAACCCGAAGCTCGAGAAAGGGATGCTGCAAAGGCGCAGCGATGGCGCGGTCTGAACGCCCCGGCCCGCTCTTCCGTGTACGCGCCTTGGCCGCGCTGGCACGCCGCGACGGGCGGGGCGGGGCGGGACGGGGCGGGGCGAGGCGAGGCGTCAAGGGCGCCCCGCGTTTTGAGTCATCGCTGAATATATTCCGACACATTCCCCGGCCACCATGTGGCCCCACACCACACTCGCGCGCGTCTGTTTGTGTGTATGAAGTGTGTCGGCGCGGCCTGCGGCTGGTGGACTGTGCCGTATGCCGACTGCGTCGCCGAGCACACTTGCGCAGCACTAGCTGCGTATGGCAAGAAGGGGGTTGACCGCGGCGGTGACCAGACCACCCTGTCGCTGCTCAGCCCTCCTGGGCGGCCCGGGAGACCCGGCTCATTATATTGGCTCGAGCTCACGGAAGTCCTTCGGCACTGCTCGACCCGCGGGGTTCCCTACCCTACTCCCCTCCCCCAAGGTCCTCACGACGGAGTACAGTCCCGCACGGCACTTTGATTTGTGGATCAAAGATAGACTACAGAACAGGGGATGCAACAGCAGTGTTTCGCGCCGCGACGACATATAGTGAGTTCGACAGCATGCGGATGCAGCAGGGAAGTACCCTGTGTACAGCGGCGGGTGACACGACTCGAGTGAGTTCTGCATGCGGATGCAAACATAGAGGGTCAGTCACATGGGTTTTGTTTTCTAATCATTTCCTCTATACACAGATCAGCGCTAGAAGTTGCAGGCCGAGGCTGAGTAGGCAGAGCAGTGGTGTGGCGGAGCGTTGCGGAGCGTGGCGGGGTGTGGCGGTGGGGCGAGGTGGGGTAAGTTATTTTGGTGGCGGACGCCGTGCCGGTCTGCGTTCTGTGACGGCCTCTCGCCCTGTCTCTGTCTGTCCCCCTCTCTCGCTCGGTGTATGCTCTCTCTATCTCTCTCCCTCTCGGAGGCGGTGGCGGCGCTATGCACGTGACCGTCGTGCCGCGCAATTCGACTCAGGTCTGCAAACTGACGACGCGCGCCCTTTGCACTTGCGTCAACATTCCCAACGTGTTAGGAAACAAAAATAAAATGAAAATTAAAATGAGCGTAAGCGACAAAAGAAATGGGTTAGCATGGCATGAAGCAGAAGTAGATGATTACGATCGAAAATGGAAGGTGACGCATCGCGGTGAAAAATTCAACAGCAAGAAAAACCGCAAAAGAGAGAAAGAGGTCTGAATGTTTTAAAATTTATTTACATTTTAAGTATTTACTTTTCTTAACGTCAACGTTAACATGCCTCCAATATACGCAAGTCATGCACGCGGAACGCAGGTAGTGCTCTCTTTTTTCTCACTTGCCACTTTAAATTATTCGATATGTAGTTTTTTTTTAAACGTTTGCGTCGCAGTCAGTCAGCCGGCGTGGCCTATGCCACCACACACCGGTACCCCGCTCCGCTCCGCCCCGCCCAACCGCACACGAACCACACAGGCGCACATTAGCTCATAGCCTCCGCCGGCGAGGGCCGAGCCGAGGCGGGCCGGCTTACATTAGACATTTCGGCCCAAATCATTTTTTGCCAAAATAAAATGGGAGACGAGGGGCAGAGTCGCTTATCGTGTCAGTGCGAGTCGCGAGTTCCAGCCCTCGCAGCTCCTGGCCCCGGTCTCGTCCAGCCAACAGCCTCCTCCACTCCAGCCTCCAGCGCTGCTCAGGCAAGCCTCCGCAGGCGCAGGCTCCGCAGGCTCAGCACGCGGCTCCAGCTGTACCTCCCGGTCCACCCTCTTGGCCTCCTTCTCCTTCTTTGCCCCGCCGGCGCCGTCCCCGCCGCTGGCGTCCCCGTCGGCGCCCGGACGCCGGCGCCGCCGCAGCGCACTCACCAGGAGGCTCTCCTTGAGGTAGTTGAACATGGTTGGGGCGCACTCACGCGCACGTGCACTCACGCACGGACCACGCTCGTTCGCACGCACGCACGCTCGGACGCCGCACGGGGCACGGGGGAAGGCAGACGACACAAATCGCACGACCCGGTCGACGAGACTGAGCGCGGGCCCCGGCTACCCAGCTGGCCCCCGCGGCCCCGGCGGGCTCGGCCCCGCCCGGCCGGCCGGCAGGCAGCCCCGCGCCCGCGCCTCGTCGGCAGCCCCGTCCCGGCCGCGGCTAGCGCTGCCGACGGCGTGCGGGGCGGGGCCGCGGCCCCAGGACAAGACTGTCGTCGGCGTCCTGCCTCGGGCCTGTTCCGTGTTCGTGATGTCGGCGTGCTAATGAGCGCTGCGGAAGGGGTGGTTAGCGCGGTGCTCGATCCGTTAGGACGC